AATGATTATATTATGACTATACTAATGATTATATTATAAAATATATTTTAAATATGATTATATTATAATAAAATATATGATTATATTATAATTTTAATATATGATTATATTATAATAAAATATATTTTATAATATAATCATTAGCGATCATAAAACAGCTTATCTTCATATATTGAATATATATTTATATATTGAATATTCCACTACTCATACCTATTCTTTTAGCTCCTACAATTTTCAACTCATTAACCAAAATTTCAGATAACCTACAATATTAAAAATGTAATATTCCAGATACTTATTCGACTAATGTGTTTCATTCTCTCGTTGTTCAGCTTATTTCCAGTCTATGTATGTATGTGTGTGTGTGTGTGTGTGTGTGTGTGTGTGTGATTAAACTTCAAAATGCAAAAGCCTTCTTTCTTTCCTTCATAGGTGACAGACGATAAAAACGTTTTAAATTCGTTTGTAGAATAAAAATTTGCTATTATTTAAATTTTTAAATTTTTACAACAACTGTAACTTATATCAAAATATACTATAATAGTTTTTATTCCACAAAAGAATTTGATTAATTTTAATAATTTAATTGCAAATTTAAGTAATTCACTCAATAATTTCTACGAGTTTTGAAATGTTGAAATTTAAGAATGAATTTAAAAAGCTAAATGAACAGTAAATCTCTTCTTCTTCTGTTAATTTGTAGTAATTAAATAGATATAAATGCTAATAAGAGAGGTCTAAAAGAATTAATTAACGCGATATTCAAATATTACAATGTCGGCAAAGATGAAGGGGAAGAAAAAGAAACTTTGGTAATACAAAATATTGCGACAGCTTCTGATTTTATCATTGTGAAAGGTTAATGAATGCATTGGTTTTGCAGTTTTCTTCATTCGTTGAGCTTTAATTTCATCAACCGGAAATATTCCAGAAAAGCAAAAATTGAATGGATTTTTAAGATCGGAAAACTTTTTGCATAACAACGTAAAATGAATGCAATCTTTACATCAAAAGCATAGACCATTTCTTTTAGCCATTTGGCCTAATTAAACTATTTGAAATTCCGATTTGTAATAAGAAGAGTAAAGCAAGAAACCCTCGAAACCTCGGGAACAATTGATATCTTAGGGTAGTGCTTCGATAGTTTTTGCGGTCCGTGAATTATCAACTTTCTATGGGTGTGAAGTGATGGATGTTTGTGGCTAGAAGAAGCAGAAGCTGAAGTGATTGCTTAGATTGACGATTTGCCTAGGCGGTTTCTTTTAATTCCGGTTGCCTCGATGGTTGTGGTTTTCATTTTGGTTGTCATTTTTCTAGGTTGAACTTTTTTTTGAAATTTTTTTCTTCGAAAATCAACTCCGTTACATTGCATCGGTGGCTCTGTGATATTGACAAAATCAGCATTTGCTCATTATGTATCGTGTTTAACGCGTAAGTTAACCTTAAGGATATGTGTGAATAAGTCATATATGTAATTGATCGTTAAAAAATCACCATTAATTATCGATCAGAGTAGTGAAATGTATCAGAATATTTCAAATAGAACACTACTGTAAATAGCGAAAGCTCAATATCATTGAGAAATTTATTGAATCATTTACTTCAAGCACTTTTTCTTTATTTTGAATATTTAAAAAAGAATGAGATTTGTTTTTACAGGTATAAAATAATGTGTGATTGCAGATGGAATGGGTTTTGTGCTTCTTTGCACTGCTCATTTCATGAAATTGCATTATTTTGAAATTGATTACGAAAGACACTATCATTGTCAACATATGAAACAGTGTCAGGTTTGTTGTTTTTACTATATGTTTTTTAAATTTTAAGAATAGTTTAGAATTTAATGTTTCTTCTCTATGGTGATGAAATTACGATGATAAATGATTTTTGCGAAGAAAAATCCTATCGTCATAATAAATGAGGACGGAAATAAATTGATGTTCTCTTTCTGTACTCTTTCCTTTATAATCATATTCCGTTAGAAGTACAAATTATATAGATCATGCTGTCGGCATAACCAGTGAAATACAGCCAGAGTTTCATATTTAGGTTATCATCCATCAAATCATTCCATTTCAATCACGCCAAAACTTTTGGTTTATGATGTGAGGGTTTAAAGCTTAAGAATATGTGGTGACTGAAATGAGAGTGAGAAAGTGTTGTGCAAACACTTTGTGTTAAATATATTGTAAAACAGCAGGAAAATGCCCGAAGAGGGCCTTTGAATGGATCAGGCCTAGTATGTGAAACAAATGAACCACCACGGGCTAAAGTTGGGACGCGCAAATGGCGATATCATCAAGGACGGAATCAATTTTGGTGCGATGGTCGCATCATTATGGCACGACAAAGTTCCATCTTTCTCTTCACTTTGATGGTTATCACTGGAACGATGGGTCTATTTTTCGTCTTTGAGTTAGTTTTCCAGTTTAAGTTTTTGCTATAACTGAGACAAGAAGAAAAAGAGAGACAGTTGGAAGAATATAAAAGTTCAAAAGCCTTGAAGGTGAGGATGGAAGAGTGTATTGCACTGTTTTTTGGTTTTTCAAACATTTTTTCCAATGCCAGGGCAATGCAGCATCTTCCTGTGAACTTGTATGTGTTGGAAAAGAATAAATGCTTTGAAGTGGTTATTAATAAGATGTTTTATATCATAAAATGAAAACATAGATTTTTTGCTTTCGTCATACTTTAGTAATTGTAAGTTATGCGGTTTCATTGCTAGTCGCGTTATTGATGTGATAAAGATGACAATACAATAATTTAGGTTTAATGTAACTAGAAAGATTTCGGCAGTGTGCTATAATTTACTGCTTGTTGTTCATCTCCGATTTTAATACGATGATATTTTAGTGCACCGTATTTGTTTTGGAACGTCTCACCTGCTCTTCCAATAGTTGCGGGAATATTAATGTGTCTTGTGCTAGTTAATTTATTTAAGACATCATTTTCTGACCCAGGAATATTACCGAAGGCGACAAGTTTGGAAGCTATCGAAATTGATCGACAAAATTTTGCAGGTGATTCTCACTAAAATTTGTAAATGTAGTAGCCTTCTTTTGATTAGTAATAATTAAATGCGGGCTTTTGATATGTAATGATCTTCGAACTTTGTTTACTCCATTCTCTTATCAGCTTGAGATAGTAGGAATCACTGTAGTTATAATTGGCCACTATGTTAAAAAATTTGTCTTGCAAATTTACCTCTTGGAACATATCTTTCTTGAACTCGTATTCTTTTTGAATCCCTTAGCATAGCGTGAAATTTTGGATGGTACTAATTGTTGAGGATGGTTCAGTTGATTTTCCTGTTCAATTGCCAAATTTGCATTATGCGAAATGTATGAATTTTGTTAGGTTTCTTCTAATTGGAACTTTGTTTTTAACAACAAGGAAGTTTTAGTGAATTACCAATGATACGCGATCATAAGTATTTTTTAGTTCGCTTTAAAAGCTTCCTTCAGAAAGTAATATGTCGGAGGCAGTGCGAACACCACCACGAACGAAAGCAATACACATTAACGGGCAACTTATCAAATTGAAATACTGTTTTACTTGTCGGCTGTTTCGTCCACCGCGTTCCTCTCACTGTTCCGTATGCGACAACTGCATCTTAAACTTCGACCATCATTGCTAGTTTATCACTGAGTTTTTTTTTTTTGCCAACAAGTCACTTTCGTTCTATTTCTGTTTCAAAAACTAAGAATTCATTTTACAGGTCCATGGGTTAACAATTGCGTTGGGAAACGAAATTATCGACACTTTTATTTTTTTATTGTATCACTCACCATGCTGACACTATTTGTATTTGCATGTGTATGTCTACATCTTGTTATTTGTAAGTCTTTGACCTGCATATTTTTATCTTGTGGTTTGAAAGTTTTTGAAAGCTCTGAGAAGATAAATTACTCACTGATCATGCAATTACTAGAATAGAAACTGTAGTTTGACGGAATTTTTTTTACTTAGCTGTTGGTTCGAACTTTTCCCTAATTCTAGTTCTTTTCCCTAAGAATATAGTTGATGTTTTTCCAAATATGCTTTGCTTCCCTCATTTGTGCTATGCCTATCGTTTTTAGTCATGGTGTAACCACATTTCGTGATGAAAGATAGTTTTGTAGTTCAATAATGCCAAGTTACGTTCAGTCGTGCACCTTTTTTATGTGGAGTGAGGAAGAATCATCAAGGGGATTAGGCTTTTCTTTATCTTAAATGCATGCAACTGGGTCGAGCTTCTTTTCTGTAACAATATGATTTTATTTTTTAGATTAGAATATTTCTGAAAATAGTACTGTTATGTTTTAATACCCATGGTATTCAGTCATGTTTTGTGGGATAAATTTTTTGTGGGGCACATATTTTAAGTTCAGTTGTTTTATATGTCATAGTAAATATTGTAATTAAAGCTACTTACTGATTTTTTAAGTTTTTTGCAAGGCGTGACGAAAAAAGTAAATGGAAGTTAATAGAACTTCTGTTTACTTTTATTTATTTTTTTAAGTTAGTAGTTTGTGAAAGTGTATGTTTTATTTGTTGCAGTGTCACAAAGGGAGAATGCATTTCTGGGTGCAGTAAGACAGTGTCCTATGTCGCTTATAATTGCTTTAATATGTTTTTTCTCCATTTGGTCAATATTTGGTCTTTCTGGTTTTCATACATATTTGCTGTCAACAAATCAGACAACAAATGAAGACATCAAAGGAACATTTAATTCGAAACGATTACCACATATACAAAACCCATATACTACTGGTTCTATATTTTCCAATTGTTTTCGAACACTGTGTGCTCCGGAACCTCCAAGGTTTGTAATTGTCTTTGCTTGATTTTGTTGTTACAATTAAACTTTTTGTAAAAGTCAAATCTCTTCATAGTATGACCCATTCGCGTTGTTCAAACTAAAGATATATAAGATGTTAGAAGGGAAATAAGGATTTTGATGTATCTATTCCATCGGGAAGGACTAGGTTAATTTTAAATGCATGGAAAATTTTTCAAAGTTGATTGCTATACGATGAAACTAAAAGCGAAAGAAAAGAAAGCGACTGTATTACGAGTTAAAAAAATCTTAGCGAATGTCTACCTACATTTTTTTGTTACAATGTTGTGATTAAAACTGATTTACAAAAGTATTCCTCCAACAAAGGATGCTGCTTTTTTCAGTTTAATTGACCGAAGAGGAATTGTTGAGCCTGAACCGATTGTGATAGTGAAGAACTATGGTTCAACTGGTGGTTCAGAGCGACAATCATACAAAATTGTTTTAGGCTGATTAATTTTTCTTTTATTTTTTGAGGATTTGGCTGAAGAAATATTTTATGCTAACAACTGGCAAGTTACCTGTATCTTTTTTCATTTAATCTTTGTGATTGGAGAAAAAATTTCAGTCCTTCTGGAAAATGTTAATATGCTTTCTTGTTTTTGGTAAATTTAGTGGTTTGAGAATTCATGTGGGAAATTATTATTAAACAAAAAGAAAAATAAATTAGAATGCCTTCCAAGAAAAGAAACTTAATGCCATACTCACTCGAGAATGCAATTTTTTGATCCTGATTTTGAAACTCAACACTCTTTTGTCAAGACTTTATCTTATTACTTTACGCACGATGAGTTTCCGTCTTTGTCCTCCTTCTCATTAAGAGTTGTAATTTATGCAGTGCTGATTTTGCTATTATGAAATAAGGGACGTTCGTTTCAGTAATGATTCGGTCCACAATTAAAGTCTATTCTGCGCTTGTGCATATCTGTGTTTTGCCATAATCGTTTTTATTTATGTTTGTTGATTCATCATGAAGCAAAACTCACGAAACTTTGAACGGTTCCAGAATTTCGAATAGAATTCTTATATTCGCTAAGCAAAAAAGGGAGTTGTTACATTCTGCCAACTGATATTTCGTGTGTTTTGTTATGCCTTTCACTTCATCACTGGTTTCTTTCAACTTCTTATTGTTGTATGAATTACTATGAATACCGCTAATGAACTGCTTTAATTTTCTTCTCATGTTGGCTCATGACAAGTATTTCTGGACAGACTTGCAATGCCATTTTATGCAAAATTAATTTTTCCTTTTTTTCAAATAATTTTTTTCTTTATGTATTCTTTTTTACAAGCCTAAAATTGCGATTGTATGACAGATTGGTAGTGTTGAAAATTTGTCAGGAAATATATCCTACAGATCTGAAATTAATCAAGAAAATATTCCAAGTTTCGAAATTACCACCAAACACTGTTTACAGAGTGAAAAATGAGAAACAAAACGAATCATACGACGAGTTGTTCATATCCCTTGGGTCAAAATAATTGTTAAAAACTCTTTGACATAATTGGCACCCTTTTTCATACCCATTCGCAAGATCTACCGGAAAAAAAAACCCTTTAAGGACATCACATTACCGCCCCGTGTGAGTCACATGCCGAGGGAATTCGACGGCCATGCCTTCCGGTATTCGCTATTTGTCCCTAAACCCCAATGTTTTGTTCTCTAACTACCAATGCTTGTAAGAGGAATGTGTAGGATAAAGGTTGAGGTATGATTTTAATTTGGTGTGATAAAATGTTTTTTGTCTTATCTTACAGTTGCCTTGGAGAAGTGAGGTTTCGGGGGAGGAAATAATTTTCCTCATGCTCCGGACAGAATTTTTAGCGGAAGAAATTATGAAATTTCTACATGATAAGAATTGTTAATTTTACATTGAAAACTGCCTGCTATTTTTAATAAATTGAATTTCGCAGAATATAATTCAATTACAATTACAATGCAATGCAGCTACGTTGAATTCTGGAATTTCGGTTCGGTATATTGAATTTCAGTATATGGTTTGGTTCAATTAAATTTTTGAAAAAGTTTATCGGTGTTTGTTGTGCTATTTAATAAACAGATTGATAAATTTAAAATGTTTTTTAGGAACATAATGAAACAAATAACGCGACCATGTCGGATATTGTGGAATTTACACCGGCAGAGGAATATGTTTATGTATTCACCGGAAACTATTGTTCCTACTCTAACATTACCAACTACTTATACACCACTAGAGGTTTTCCTTCTAATACTTATAAATTCATATTCTAATTTCTTTTTAGACATTCATCGAATTCGATGTAGTTTATCATTTTTTGTGTAGTAGTATATTTAAGGGAGTAAGTTTCTTGAATGTTTTACTTTAAATATGAAGTTTCGAAATTGACTTCAAATACATTTTATCTATTTAATAAGCATATAGTTTACCTATTTAATAAGCATATAATTTTCTCAAGCGAAAATTAGATCAGAAATTTATCTAAGTGATTTCTTTAATATCCTATTACACTTCTATATTTTTTTTTACTTCATTTTGTTATTAAAGACAAAGATATTTGATAGAAAAGGATAGATGGTTTTTAAATGAATTATTACCTTTATTATATTTTATTGATTTCCCTTTATTTAGCAATCATTTAAATCAGTACGATATTTCTCACAACAGGGACAGCATCATTCGAGGCCTAGAAATTTCTTGAAAAATTTAGTGGAAAACATACGAGAAGAATTTGAAAAAAATAAAGAATTGCAGGTAATTTTTTACTTTTTAAGTAAGTGATAAAAATCGATAGAAAAAGATAGGAAAAGCAAATTAAAAGTCAAAGTGGTGAGACGATATCACTTTTAATAACTTTCCATAAAAGTAATGCATAGTCATATTCGTCATCATAGTATCGGCAACAATATGGTTTGGAATGATATAATTAGAAATATCAATTTTATGATTTTTACAGCAGAACCGAGAGATCTTTTTTCACATCATATAGTGGCAAGTAAGGTATATTTTCCCTACTAATTAACTGGTAATTTGTGGTGGACTTGTTGATATTATCAAACATCCTGATTAAATTGGCCATTTTTTTAGGTTGTTAATACTTTATCTTCTTTCTTCATGTTTCTCATGATTGACATTACTTTTTTCTAGGAAAATAAACGACAATTGGATGAAAGATTGAGAAGTTTAAATGACAGCGAAGCTCTAAAAGAAGCTAGGAGGAAATTTGTGAGCTTCATTTTCTTTTTAAAATACTTTTGAAAATTATTATTTTACATAATACGTCGTCATTCGTCACAAATTTATAATCATTTTTGTTTGTCATTCTAATGATGGACCATTGAAAATTATAGGAATTAATCGAGAAAGAGACTTTGAAGAGTTCGCAAGTTATTCAGAACAAGATCAGCGAAGTCCGCCATCATATATCAAAGGTAAGTGTCCTTAATCTTTTCTGTTTTTCCCATCTTACTGGTAATGGATCTTTTGACTCATACAAAGCAAACAAATAGATGTAACCCAAAACTTTTGAACGCTTGAATGGCATTCTTTCTCTTGTACAATCGAAATAAAATAATTTGTCAGGAAAAACGTATTTTAAAATTTTAATTGCTGTTATATACAGATGGTAGTGGAAGTGCAGAAAACAGAAGCAGGAAAAAAGCTTTCTTTCGCTGCAGAAGAACTATTGAAGCAGGCGAAAACTGCTGCAGAAATGATCGAAAAAGCAGCAGAACAAGTTGGGGATAACCAATTGTATCAGACTGTTAGCTCAGTAAGTGGATGAAATATCAATGCTTTACATATATCTTTTAATTTATAAAATTTAACATGGACATTTTTTTGTCTTCGTAAGTGAGGACGCAACGAGGCAATATCTTAGCAGTTTCAAAGAAGTGCAGCAGATTCTGAGTTGTTAACTAATGAGGACCAAGCCGTCTGAATTTCTGAAAAAGTTTTCAGCATTTGAGTTTGATGTGATTGATGACTAGGTCGTGAGCTTTCTTTGGGAGGCTAAAACTAAAATTCTATGATATGTCATACAGAAAAGACATATTTTGTTAAGCCGGTTAACGATGGCCACTAGTGTGCTCCAAATTAATTCGATTTTGAACTTTGCAGTCAGTGAAAATGATCAAAGACGAGGTTGATAATATTGTCGATGTACGAATGTATACTCGACCAGGTTATGTTTCTTCTTGTTTAACAATGATTATGCTTTCTGTTTGGCAATAATTATGCTTTCTGTTATTTTAACATAATTTTTTTGTCTTTATGAAAAATCTGAAAAATTCATCGGGTAGTGACATTTCGACTTTTAAAAAACGTTTCAGATCAATTAAGAATGCGCTCAGCATCTTTTTCTACTTGCACTGATCGAGTTGTGGAAGCTAATTCGTAAGTGTACTTTTAATTAGTTACTTTATTATCGGTGTCAATTATCATCTTTCATGGGGCTTTATTTGGTTTAAAGCATCGTTTCATGCATTGTATACGTGAATTTGTGTTTATAATAGTCTTGAAAGTACTGGAATTTTTTGATGATGCCTTCTATAAATGAAGTGTCAAAAAAATACTTGGTTTATGGAAGGAATAGCGAAGTGTAGAGTTTACATGAAAGAAAATGATATTATGAAATTGTTCTAATGACGCCGAATGACGCAAAATTTTTTTGTTTTTATTTTTTTTCACTAACGTATAATTAAATTTCTATAGAAATGCAACTGGTGTAGAGCTGCATAAAGAATCCAAATGGTATGCTGGCTGGAAAACTTTTTCCGAAAATAATACTTATTATAATAGTATGTTTAATATTAACTTTTATATTTATTTATTATTTAATATTAATATTTATTATTATTTAATATTATTTTTTTTATTTAATATTAAATTTTAAGCTGCTAGTATTTAAATTTGCAGCAAAGTTTTTCAATCTGTTTGTAAGGAAGTTCAGTGAAATTTTTACACTTTTTTTACTAAAACTGGATTGAGTAATATCACTGTAACTCATTCTTTCTGATGAATGTTGCAATTTTTAATNAGTATTTAAATTTGCAGCAAAGTTTTTCAATCTGTTTGTAAGGAAGTTCAGTGAAATTTTTACACTTTTTTTACTAAAACTGGATTGAGTAATATCACTGTAACTCATTCTTTCTGATGAATGTTGCAATTTTTAATGGTTTGTGGACATAAGTATTTCGTTTCAGAAATACTGGACTGGAAAATGCGTCTGGATGAAAGCGATAATTTGGCACTGAGAATGGTGCGCGGCTTCACAGACAAAGTTTCCTCACTGCTCGGTACGTTTTCGGAAATTTATTCCACTAAAATTTGGTTAATAAAGTATCTGATATCACCCAATGGAGTGCGTATTTTCTATTAATTATGTTGTTACTGCATCTCATAAAACAATGTTGTGGTCCAAGATTTTAAGGCAATTCTGATAACATATATCGTTTAGCGTTTTCATTTGGACCAAACATCTTTTTAGGTTTAATTACTACCAGATTGCGTCTTATGATCCCCAACTTAAGAGTTGAAAAGTACAAAAGGGGTAAAAAAGCAGTCGCATTTCTTGTACAAAATATTCTAAACAATTTCAAATTCAGGAGTTCGTAGTGAAATATCGGAAGTGCTTTCTGAAATTCAAAAAGTTGATCCGAATTTCGATAAAAATGAATGGCTACGTTTTTGCGAAAAAGAAATAATCCCGAATGTTCTGGAAGCATTTATTCGCGGTGATTTGAAAATTCTCAAAGATTGGTGTTACGAAAGAGTTTGTTTTTCCGGATTTCTTCATCTTTTTTCTCGGATTCTTTTTCGAAATCTTGTAGCTTTTTCAGCTTCATAATATCTATATGGATAAAATTTTGATGAGACTTTAATTTTCAGGCTTATAATATTTTATCAGCAATTATCAATGAATATAAAAAAATCAACTTTAGTACAACAGACAGTCGCATCATTGATATCGATAGCGTTGAGGTTTATCATTACCTTCTTATGAATAGCTTCATAGTTTTCTCATTCATTTCTTCTTGGCTGCTACTTTACCGAATATTAGATGCAATTGTGCATTCTCGGATTTCAAATCTGAAGAAATAGATAGTGAAGCACTTGCTTTCCATTTCACTAGTTTATGTCTTGAAAGCAATTTTACTGTAAAACCTACAAATGTGTTAAATTTGGGCCAAATTGAGCTGTAATTTATTTAAATGATTATGATAGAAAAATGCGAAAAAGATTTTATATTTACTATTCAGATGTTTTAGGAAGAATTTTAATAAGAATGCATTTTAGTTAAAAATATAATGTTTAGTACTGCAGTGTATTGAAAAAGATATTTAGATGGTTACTGGTAAAATGATGGAACAAGGGCCAGTGATAATAATCACGTTTGAAGCTTATATGGTGAATGTTGTCAGAAATATGGAGGGAAAAGTTGTCGAAGGTGATCCGGTAAGTTTGTCGTTCTGAGTATTTTTTTAATATGAAACAGAACTATTCTACGTTTGATTCATTGCAAATTAAGATTTGTTTCTGAAAAATTAAAGAAAACTAAGCTTTTGTGCATGTAATTTATTTCGTAAGTAATTGTATAATATGACAAAACTGCTGTCTGAATTATGTGATTTTAAAGTTGTTAACCATATGAACAGAAGTTGTAGTGCTTCAGGTTATTTCCAATATAAAACAAAAGAGTTTCTAGAAATAACTTTATATTTTTCGTTACAGCAACGTGCAATCCATTTTAACAATTCGGTTCATCATGTATTTAAAATTTCAAACTGGTTGAGAATTTTCAGAATAGTTCGGTACGTGTTCATCATGTATGGGTAATGTGTCGTGATATGGAAGAATATAACCCAAAGGTGGCATGGAAAGTGCTTGAGGTACACATGCAAAGGGGTAATCTAGCATTATAATGTAATTTTTTTATTTCGATCTATTACTTTTCTTTTCAATGTTATGTTTTCAATGTTTTCACTTATCTGAAAGTAATAGGCAACAGAAAAGATCTGGAATTGTTGCTGGTTTTTTTTCTATTATAACGACGGAATATTTTTACATAGGAAAATTTGAAAAGATCTGACTCAAAGAAATATTTATTTCAATCAAAAGTATTACGGGAAATACTGCTAGGAGCAGTTTTTAAAGTGAACTCTTACTTATTTATATGTTCGCTTGTTTACTTTTAATTTTATGTTTTTTCTAATTTATGTTCTTTCTATTCTAACTTAGTGATTAAATTATTAAATTCGTCTTTGTGATAAAGAATGCTAGCTTAAGATTTTAGTAGCGACCGGTGGAACACTTAAAATGGAAGAGTTGCTGCTAAAAAAATTTCGACAAAGTAGTACTGATTGTGTATGTAGGTGTAGTCAACGTGATAAAAGTATTGGAAAAAATTCTTCTATTTATTGCGAAATCCAATATCCTGTTTTTTTTTCAATCTTTTATATTATCTGTTATTCTTGCTCAATGAGTTTGCTTTTTGTTATTCTTCTTATTTTACGTATACTTAGAATCTGTTTTAAAAATTCGAAAAAAAATTTTTTATTTTGTTTACTAAAAATTTGCCAGTTATTGCACAAAAGATTTCCTGAACTAAAGATATTATTAATATAAAATTTTTATCATATCTTCTCTCAATATTAAAATTTCGTCGAATTTTTTCACGGGTTATAAATAAAGAATGTTGAAATTGTTGTACCAAATGAAGAATGAACTTGTTAAAACTCTTTCAGTACATCTCGTTTTTTTTTTTTGGCACAACATCATATGGTTGAAAGATTGCTTGATATTAGGTATCATAAGTGCAGAAAATCATGATGTAACTCTCTCAGTTGAATTTTATCGAAAAATTGGTTTGCATGAAATTTGTAATGCCACCCATGAAAATATATTTTCGTTGTATGCAATCTATAAAAAAAATGATTGTTTTTTAATGAAAAATAAATTGATGCCTTTCAAATTTTTAATTCTTCTCATATGTATGGTTGATATGGTGCACGATGATATTTTCTTTTCCGCTATGATAAGTATTTTTGGTATGCGGTTTTACTTAAAACGCACTTTATCACTGTTAAGCGATTAGTGTTGTCATAGTTTAGCTTTATTCAATGTTTCAAAATGTTTTTCATTTTCTTTTCTTAAAAACAAAAACTTATGATATGAAAGTGTAGAAAATTGATGATCGAAGAAATTCCTCTCTTTTGTTATATGGTTTATTAAGAGATTTCTTTCGATGAATGCAGTCAGATATCAGGATAGAATTATAAACATATCTTACAGTATATACTATTCGTTTATAAGTGGATTCTAAAATAAATAGTAATAATTGATATTATACATGGATGAATTTATATTAAAGCGATAACATAATAGCTAATGATAATTTCTCACGTATAGCTTTACGGGAGAAATTATCATTAGCTATCAGAAATTATCAAATTAATTATTATCAAAAATCATCAGAAATTATCAATTAGCTTAATGATTGGATTTTTGTTTATCATGCATGATGAAACGGAAAATGATTTTATCGTAGTGTTAGTATAGTTTTTTCAAAATTTTCGCTATAGAGAAAATAAGTTGAAAGGATTGATGTTTTGTTATTGATTTTTTTCTTACTGATGTTAGAATTTTTCCGGAATGAATAAACGATTTCATTATTCAGTGAAAGTTGAAAAATTACGGATATTGAAATGATGTTATAATTTTCAAAGTGAAAATCGGCCGATTTAATTCAATACCATTGATGAGATTGAACAAATAAAACAAATTCAATCAGCGTTTTTCAAATTATTCATTTATCAAAGGTGCATAGAGAAGGATAATTGGATAAGATGTTTAGAATTACAATGATAAAAATGAACGAGAATACGGAAAACAAAAATTTTCAATAAATTAAAATTGCTTAAATTCATCTTATCAACTTATCAACTATCAACTCTTCAACTTACGAGATATCAATATTATGCATCAAAGAATCAATATCGTATTCTGAAGCGTTATAAGATGAATTTAAGCAATTTAATATAGTATTAAATTTAATATAATGTAGTGATATAATATACATATAAAACAAATTCAATCAGCGTTTTTCAAATTATTGAATTATTGATTTTCATATAGAAAGATATAATTTGATATAATATAGTGGCATAATATATAATTTATTATAAATATAGTGATAATACTAAAAAGAAATGACTGATATGGAATCTAATTATTTTAATCGATTTGATATTTAATTTTCTTTTCATCGATAAGATAAAATTTTCGTTGAATTATGCAAATTCCTTTTAAAAGAAAATTTAACACTAAAAGAATGATAAATTTTTGTTCAAATCAAAGATCAAGATGATGGAGAGTTTCCGATAAACAGATTTATCTTTTGTTGTTTAAAAATTTTTCAAAGAGTGAGGAAGCATAGTAGAGCGGTTGTTTACATGATGATATAGTTTGATGATGATGATGATGATGAAGTTGTAAGATTATGATTAATTAGGATATTATGATTTGATGATAATATAATATACTATTAATTCATAACTGATTATAATAGTTTGTGTTAATATAAAAGTTAGTAGGTATAGCATGATGATAATGAAGAAGTTGTAGGATTATGATTAATTAGGATATTATGATTTGATGATAATATAATATACTATTAATTCATAACTGATTATAATAGTTTGTGTTAACATAAAAGTTAGTAGGTATAGCATGATGATAATGAAGAAGTTGTAGGATTACGATTAATTAGAATATTATGATTTGATGATATTACAATATATTATTAATTCATAATTGATTACAATAGCTTGTGTTAATATAAAAATTTGTAAAACTTAATAATATGATTATTTTTAATGTTAAAGAAAATTATTTAAAATTATTTTTTGCAATTTTTTTAGTTTATAAGAAAACTATTAGAAGCAGTTTATATGAAAATATTCATTTAATATTATAATTATATTAATAAATATTATTTGAGATTATTATTATTAATTACTAATCATTGTTATTACCATATTCTATCATAATATCATTATTATTACCATATCCTATCATAATGTTGTTATCATTATCAAAAAATTATGTATAGAATTAATTCGACAATCTTATCGATTGATTTTTATGATATTTGTTATTGTTGTAAATTATTTTCATCTGACATATAATCTAATCACTCATATCGATGCTATTTTTCACTGACTTGTTTGTTATAGTTTATTGAAATCTATTTAATACTTCATATCTATTATTAATTGCTAATCATTAATTGCTAATTAATACCTTATTTTAAGTAATATTATTTTAAATAATTAATTTGCATTAAATTTCTTTCCACTTTTCCTACAATTATTTCGTTTGTATTGTTAATTAACAAAAAAACAATTTATCTAATGAAAGGTATTTTTAAAAAATCTTTTCATTTAGTCGAAAGTTTAAAAAAAGAGGGAAGAAAAAAACTTTCAAGCTTATCACTACGTTATCACTTAACTTATCACTAAATCGCTATGTTTTTTTTTTTTAAATAAAATTTTGTGTCAATAATTTGTTGAAAAAAGAAATGACTTTTCAGGTAAGAAAGAAATCAATGATATATGACAATTTCCCTCTTTATTAGATACTGATAACTTATACTTACTATTATTTACTTATTTGAATGCATAATTTTTTGTTGAATATATATACCCAATATATATAATATATATTTGTTGAATATAAATATATAATATATATATAATATATAGTGAGTATATATACCTTGTAAACATACTCCTATATATTAATACTCTTAAATATTACTTAATGATTTATAAATGAATTTAAATAAGTATGTATATGTATATATAAACTTAGTAAACATATGCTTAAATGTTACTTAAATATTATAAATGAATTATATATATATATATACCTGGTAAGCATACTCTTAAATATTGCTTGAAATATTATAAATGAACCTAAATAAGCATATGTATATATATATGCCTGGTAAGCATACTCTTAAATATTATAAATCTAAATAAGTTTATATATGTATAAAGAAATACTAAGGTGTGTTTCCAACAGTCAAATTATCAAATAAATATATATAGGAAACAAAAAGGAAGGATTTTATTTTTGGTGTCAACAGATAGATATATAGTTATCAATTAACAGAAGCGTAATGATTCAGTTGATCTAATTTCAACAATGATTACAATTTTGCTTTTGAAAATTTTACATCATACCATGCATAAAAGCTTTATTTCATCTTCTCTTATCTAATATTTTATTATTTACTACATTGATATCTTTTGGAGAATATCAGAAATATTTATTAAAATATAATTAATTACTACAATTAATTATTAAAATTGAAATATATCAATAATTAATGTGAAATTTTAAATTTTAAATTATCACATAAAAGCTTACTTTTATTGTAATAAATATTTTCAATTACATATTTTTATTATTATTTTTATGATAAACTAAGTATAATACTATATATTTTTGATTCATTAAAAAAATTAATTTGAATAACAAGTAAAATTAATTGATTTTTAATTACTTTAAAACATCAATCAAATTATTTTATAAAATAGATCGCAATAGAATGCAATTCAATAACATAAATAATTTTATATAAATAATTTTAACATAAATAACAATACAATTCAATTTTATATCGTCAATTATTTGAAGTAAGTAATGGATTTTTAACAATTTTGCTGCTGACAGGCCTATATGCTTCTTCTCTCATTAACAAGAAAAACAACAGCTGATACGATTGTTTACTTTTTAAAATAACTTTAACAAAACGGACGACGATACTTTATTTTTCTGCTCATTATCACTTAACTTTAACAATTATCTTACGCTAGGAAAATTTGTATAAAATAGAAGATGATAATTCTTAACTGATAATTTATGAAAATTATCTAATCATTTAAAATTATCTTCTAGATTAAGATAATTGTGTAGTATGTGTTTATATATATGTAATTGTGTTATTTACATATTATCTAATATTCATTTATTTAATTAGCATTCATTGTAAAAAAAAAAAGGCAATAAATATTCTTTTTGAATTAACTTTTAAATTTCTATCATCCTACCAATTCATCCTTCACTTCCTGTTAATATTGAATAATAAATAGTTAGTCTAATGAATATAGCCAGTGGTCAATAAATAGTTAGTCCAAACAATACAGCCAGTGGTCAGTAAATAATCAGTCCAATCAATATAGTCAGTAGCCAGGAAATAGTCAATTCAATCAATATAGTCAATGGTTAGTAAATAGTTCGTCCAAACAATCCAGCCAGTGGTCAGTAAATAGTCAGTTCAATCAATATAGTCAATGGCCAATAAACAATCAGTTCAATCAATATAGTCATTGGTTAGTAAATTGTCAGTTCAATCAATATGCTCATATCATTTAGTCAAGAAATTATTGAATGGAATTTATTGATTCACCTTAAACCAAAAGACTACTTACTTCATTATTGATTATTTCCAAAAAGGTCAATACCTTATTAATATATCATCTTCGAAAGGGTCATTTCTTAGTTACACATCATCGTCATCATCATCATCATCATTTCTGCGCATTCTCTTTTAAGCTAACTCTATGTCTTCTCTTCCAATAGCATATCTGTTCCTTAACAATTTTTATTTAAATTTAAGTAATCCAATAATTCAATATATCTATGTATGCATGTATGTATGTGCATGATAAACTATTTTATCTTTTTCTTCTTTTGCTTTTTATGTTCACGTTTACAATACCTTTTTATCATAACATTTACTTATATCAAATAGTAAAAATTAAACTTCAATCTTTTCCTAATTATAGTTAATTAATAATTAATACTGATAATAGTTAATTAATACTGATGATATCCTTCCGTAAATTAAACTACAATATCAATTGAAATGGTTTATTATCTTTTTCTTCTTTTGCTTTTTATGTTCACGTTTATAATATCTTCTTATCATAACATTTACTAATATAAAATAGTAAAGATTAAACTTTCTGTCTCTCCTAAATATAGTTAATTAATAATAGCTGATAATAGCTAATTAATACTAATGATATCCTTCCCGTAAACTACAATATCAATTGAAATGGTTTATTATTGTTCACATTATTGAATGATTATTTTTTGCTATTGTAAAAAAGAGATATCATAGGTTATCATAGGTGATTACCTGTCATTTCTACTCTTTTCTCTCTCAAATAATTCGTATTCATTAAATATTTTCCTCTTTCTCTTCATCTTTTTCACCTTTTTCAAACCTTTCTTTTATCATTATAGCTTCTCAATCTCTCAGTAATATTTATTTTTATTATATGATTATCGTTATATGAATAAAATTTTACCCTTTCAAACCTTATACCTATAAATATTTTAATTTTCTTATTATCAATAATAAATTAACATTAAAATTAAAAACTGGTAAATATGGAAATAGTGCCCCAAAAAAATAATTAAAAATTAAACTAGTAAAGGTAAGGTTATTCAAGGAAATTCAAAATAGGTAAATATGGAATTAACACTGTATTATGTAAACAAAAAATATATGTTAAATAAACTTTACCTTTGAAAAATGTTAAGTGCTTAACTTCAACTTCTTTTATTTCATTGTTATCAATGATGTAAACTGTTTACTATCAAAAAAGAAAAGTTAAAAATTGAATTAATAAAGGTGTAAGGTTGAAATCAAAAATAGGTAAATATGAATGGAGCACTTTATTATGTAAACAAAAAAAATGTGTTAAGTAAACTTTACCTTTTGAGTTTACCTTTGAAAAAGGTTAAATGCTTAATTCAACCTTCTTTATTTCATTGTTATCAATGATGTTAAACTACCTTTTATTTCTAATTGAAAATTTTTGTACGGAAAACTTTACCACAAATAAATTAGATTTTACATTTAATTTTTTTGCATAGCAAAGAGAACTGTAGTAACAGCTAAAAGAAGAATAATAATTGAATAAATGATAATTGATAATTATTGGTAATAAATGACAATTGATAATTATTGATAATAAATGATAATTGATAATTATTGGCAATAAATGATAATTGAATCGTATCCGAATAAGTTAAATCAATTTTAAATTTTTGATAGGTTGAAAAATAAAAGAAAGGATTAAAAGAAAAAGTAAAATATGCAAATTTTTTTAAAGTTATCTAATAATTTAATTAATTATTTTAAAAGGAAAAAAAGTAATACTTTCATTATTATTTTTTTAGAAGATAGGTAAGAAAGTAAAAACAAAGATTGTAATATTTCAAAAACAACAACAACAACAAGGAGATGAAGATAGGATCATTTTCATATAGAATCACAGATCGGATCACAAGATAGGATCACTTATCATTTTCAACATTCTCTTATCAAACAATAAATAAATATACACTGTTGACATTATTATTTATTTATTATTATTATTATTATTATTATTATTATTGTTATTATTATTATTATTAATTATTAAAAATTATTATTATTATTAAAAACAGGTAAAGGTACTAAGCAATAAAACAGTAATGCTACTGTATAATGAAATTAACAAATTAATAAATTGTGTTTTTCATCTTTTCATTTTCATAACATATATTTTGATAACTTTTATTTAATAAAAATGATAAAATATTTGTTAAATTTATTCCTTTTGTTTTTCTCATAAATAATTAAAAACAATGAATTTTTTTCAATTTGTTTTTAAAAAAATGATTGATATTGCAAAATGAAAATTTTGATAAATTTGCTAAAGTCTGTTTTTATATTTCTTTTTTTATTTTAAATTATATTTTATCACAGAATGATAAAATTATATTTTATCATAGAATATTTAATAATACTTTATCATAGAATATTTTATCATAGAATATTTAATAGTACTTTATCATAGAATATTTAATAATACTTTATCATAGAATATTTTATCAAAGAATATTTAATAATACTTTATCATAGAATATTTAATAATACTTTATCATAGAATATTTAATAATACTTTATCATAGAATATTTTATAATACTTTTATCATAGTATATTTTATAATACTAAAATATATAATAAATAAATGTGCTCTTTTTGTTTTCTTCTTTTTAAAAGCTATTTTTTGACAGCTCGTTGATTACAATATTTTCTTTTTCTTTTAGTTTTTCACATCATTTATATAATTTACAGTATTTATAGGAGAAAAAGAGAGAGAGAGAAGAAAAGCACAACTATTCATTTTTGGTCGAGGTGTGTACCTGTTATTCTCACCTGTTATTCAATTACTATTAACTGTTAGTCAATTTGTTATTAATGGCTCTTACATTACCGCTTCATGTAGTAGCTAGTGTACAACGTTGTTTTACAAATCAAGCTGGTACTTCAACATTTTCGGATCAAATTATTGAACATATCATTAACAGGGTAACTTATTCCATCTTTTTTTTATTTAAAAAAAGTTTAATTACTAATTAGTCATTACTTAATTAAGTGTCCTTTCTTTGAAAAAAAATTAAGTGATGATTAATTAGCAATTAAGCTTTAAGTGTAAAATAATAAAGTGGTAATAAATTTTAAGAAATTGTTTAATTACACTCATAAATAAATTACATCTTATTCAATCATTTGTCGTCATTTATCTTTCAATTAATTGTGATAATTTCGTTGAAAATTTTTTTTTCTTAATATTAATTAATTAATTGCAAATATTAAATGGAAAAGTTTTAATTATTATTTAGTCATCATTATTTGATATTATCAAATGGCAGCAAATATCAAAAAGTTTTCAAAAAGCAGCTCAAAAACGACTTGATATGTATACGATGATTGATATTAAAGTATACAATGGTTTACAACAATTACGATATAAAGCTGGCACAGAATGTATGTTTTTTCCTTAATTTATATATTTCTAATTTCCTTAATTTATATATATATTTCTGTTGTTGTTTTCTTCATTATCGAAAAGAATAGTTTATAATTAAAACAAATTGTAATAAAGCTATTGTTGATATTTGTGAATGAATTTTTAATTTTAAAAACTTTCAAATTTTTTTCTTTGGAATATTTTTATTATACGATATAAAGCTGATACAGAATGTATGTTTTTCCATAATTTATATATTTTCTTAATTTATATGATACGTTAATTTATATTATACGATATAAATAAAGCTGATACAGAATGTATGTTTTTCCGTAATTTATATATTTTCTTAATTTATATGATACGTTAATTTATATTATACGATATAAATAAAGCTGATACAGAATGTATGTTTTTCCGTAATTTATATATTTTCTTAATTTATATGATACGTTAATTTATATTATACGATATAAATAAAGCTGATACAGAATGTATGTTTTTCCGTAATTTATATATTTTCTTAATTTATATGATACGTTAATTTATAAGATATAAAATTGGTACAGAATGTTATGTTTTTCCTTATATATAATTTATATATTTTTATATATTTTCTTCATTGTAGAAAAATATAGTTTACAATTAAAATTATTGTTGGTATGTGTGAATGAATTTTTAATTTTGAAAATTTTCGAAACCTTTTTTATTTTAAGTTATACTTAAATTTATAGTTAAAATCTTATAGTTAAAATTTATTATTATAGCTAAAATTTATTATTATATAAGTAAGAATAAACGATGGTACAAATAATATGATTGAGATATTTTTAGCAGAATACGATTGGCATCCATCATTAGCATTAATGATCATGGAATTGGAACCCAATCATCTTGGTATAGCAATTGATTCTGAATTAAAAGCAAACAATGTTACCGTATTACTTCATTTACTATTTACTTTGAGACATAAAGTGGAGCAATTATTCATTGATAGTCCAATTATTGAGCTACTTGTCGCACAGGTTTCTATTTTAATTATTTAATTAGTTAATTATTTATTTAATATAATTCCACATGGAGATCATATGTAAAAGTCCAATTATTGAGTTACTTGTCATACAGGCTTTTATTTAATTAATTAATTAGTTAATTATTTATTTATTTATTTTATATAATTCTACATGGAGATCATATGTAAAATTATTTCATTTGAATTTTTGTATTTTTAAATTTTTGAATTATTCATTTTGAAATTATTATTTTAGATCAATAAAGAACAAATAAATATGCTAATTGAAATGATTAGCCTTTCACGAAAAATAAACTGTTGTTGTTGTGATGCAACACGTAATCGTCAATTAAAATTAACACCACTTCATCGGATATATTCCTTGGATGCTCCTTTCTTTCCAAATTTGAAGAAATTATCAATTATATCAAAGGTAAAATAATATTTCTATCAAAGGTAAAATAATAATATAATCACTTACATTTATAAGATTTAATTTGACAGTATACCAAGAAATAGTAACCTTTTGTAAATCTTAAAATTAATTCTTAATAAAATTTATAGTTACTTAATGAGATTTATATTATTTTCAAATTGTTTCATTAAAAAGTTATTGTAGCCTAAAATTTTAGGCAAATCAATTGCAACATCTCTCAAGATTGCTTAGTTATGCGGTATCGGTAGATTTGCTATATCATGTGGAACAGATGGATTTGTTATGTTTAAAGATTTTAGTTGGTAATGTTTGGGCTCGACCTACCAAATATCGTCTATTCAGGCATTTAACACGGTAATTTTATTCAATGAAAAAATTCTAAGATTTATTATGAATTATTTTTTACGAAGGTAAAAATTATCATCCTAAAATATAATTTCAGATTTAGACAATGGACAGAAGCAGATATGCTTGGTGAACGTTATTTTCAGCAATTTGGTACAACACGTAAACGCTCCAGAAGTTTATCGTGCTGCTTAAAATAGTTAATAGAATGCTTAACAGATATATATTTATATATTAGGTCAGTAATATCACGATATCGAGTGTTCACTAAAGAGCTTCTTTCCATCTTATTCATATTTCATATTATTTTAGAAACTATTTTCGGGTTGTAATTTTAATTGAAGTTTTAGATTTCCATTATGTTACCTTATTTTATTTCAATTTTGCATTTCAGCATTTCCTTCTTTCTCTTCAATTGATTATAAAACTATATATATATATTAGATCAGTAATATTACGATATTAAAACTAATCTTTTGCTTCAATTGCAAATCAGTTCAATCGTTCAAATTGAAAAATTCCAATCTCTTATTCTTATCATTATAAAACTATATGAATAAAAATTATTTCTTTGATATATCAATAGGAGTATATTTAAGGAGAGCATATCACAGTTCTGTTTATTATTCAAATTTTGTTCTTAATTTTCAAAACTTTTCAAATATCCTCTCTTCTATCGACATGAATAATTTTAGTGTAAAGAAATTGGAGTTTTGATTTAACGAGTTTGACTTAATCTATAATTCCTTCAAAAGCTATTCAACCTAATTTTAAAAGAAATCTCAGATCACACTCTAAATGACATAATGTTGTTTTTACTTTAGAATTAATTCCGAATTGCCCGGTATATTTCTAAATGCTCAATTATCCGCTAATTTTTGCATTGTTATTTTGTTAATGTTTTATTTACTGAGTATGCAGCAAATTATAAATGTTTAGTTTAGAATAAGATTGTCTCCTTGAATTCCCATTTTATACATAATAATGAAACTTAAATAGGATGTTGTAAACATCTTAAAAAATAACCACATATAGGAAATGCATAAAGCATTTAGGAGGGGGAAATGTCATTTATCTTCATTTCGATTGACATCATTTTCCGGAAATACGGAAAAGTGCTTTCTAGCTTTTAAAAGGGAAACTTAACACACAATCAATCTTCTTCAGAATAATAGCTTATTTTTCATGCTAAAGAAATTTATCACATAAGATTTCTCATTTTTCCTACACATATTTTTCCCCGCAATGACTCTCTCATTTTCCAATCTTTGTCACCATCTTTTCCCCATTTTTTGTTTGATGAGGGATCGGAGATTTACATCACCATCACAATATGCCATTATATTAGCTATAAAGGATGTGACTGAATTGCCTTTTTTCTGGTTAGTTGTTCCACTTATCAAAAAGACTTTTCTTCACACAGAAATCACTGAAAATATATAAAATGATTTTTTGAGACACTTGAAATATTAGCATTTCTCTGTATGATGATAATCATTAAAAAATCAAGTAGATTTAAGGGATGATATATTAGATTTTGTTCCAGAAAACAAGTAATGACTTTATTAATGTTATTAAAAACAAATAGCTTCTAATTGTTTAACCGTAAATTTTGAGACTGATTCCAGTTAGACAACTTAACGAGTCAAACATTTTGAGACTTATTCCAGTTAGACAACTTAACGAGTCAAACATGGTATCTAAAATGATGGAACTTTCTGCAATGAGTTATCGTGAAAGAACTTTTTCACTTTTCTAACTTGAAATTGTTAGAAAGACATAATGACTACGTGAATTACTTTTCAAAACAATTTTTATGTACAAAATAGCAAGAAACAAAAACCGAAAAGTATACAGACATAGCGCAAATATTTCTTTATATTATCGCCTATCAGCGATAATATTGGAAAAACGGTCACTACAGCATATCAGAGCTATTTTGAATTTGAATTTGAAAATATTTAAAAACTCACGCTGTTGGAAACGAATAACCATTCTATGTGCTAATACAATCTGCTTAGTCATTCACTGAAAAATTTTCGTAGATTTCGTTTCATCTCCGCTTTCAACGTTTTTCGAATATTAAAGACCAACGAGTCATTAATTTCAATATTTCAGATCACAAATATGAATGAATTAAATTCACTAGTTAAGCGATAGATACGAAAAAAATTGCATTGAAAAAAATCTGACGAAACTTTGCAGAAAATAACAATCAAGAAGTACAGCAAATTTGCATAGATTGGAAAAATGAAGAATACTTCACCAAAACTATCTCCGCTGTGCAGTAAGGAAATAGTATCGCAAAGCCTCTAATGCTGAGAATATGAGGATCTCTAGTTTTTTATATTCTACATTAAATACTTGTCTACCACATTGTTTCAATTACATTTAATTAAATATTTCCTAAATTTGCATGGCAACTTATTCATCTTTTATATTGGCTGTTGACAGAAAGTGATCTTAAACATAAATCTCATAAAATTCATATTTTCTTCCAGACTTTCTTTACAAGAAGTTTTAAACAATAAGTTGTATTTCAGAATAGAAAAACTAAGAAACACAACAATAATAAAATACAGTCAACATAACAGTTTTTTGATTTAATACTAAAGAAATCATATGTTTTTAATTCTCATCAGAAGTGCCAACTTTAATAAAAACGTTAGTAATACACAAATTTGACAACAGAAATAAGTAATAATAAATATCCGAAAGATATGCGGAAGAACACTAAAATTCAAGGCCTAATTTCACTGATGGTCAAGTAATTCATAAGATTAACTTAATATCTAGAATTTGGGATAAAATAACCGCTTAAAAAGACGCATATTTTTTCAATTTGATATTTTAATATGAAAGTTTAACTTCAACAACATTGGAACAAAAGCAAAAATCGATTCCGATTCCACCAAACTATTGATAACCATGTGAACGGAAAGATTTGTAATTTGCTGCGTTCCATATATACAGAGTTCATGGAGATCAAAAGCCACCAGCAAAAAATTTTAAAGTGAAAGAGTGATGTATAACAATTATTTTATGTATACTGGTAACTAAAATGATTTGAGAAAAGGGCAGTCTATTGAAAGCCAAAGCTGAATCTCGTAAAATATCTAACGTATTCAACGTTTTAAAAACATACAGTTGGTTCATGATTCGAAGAAAAACAATTACTTTCTACAGTCCTTTTACAGCACGTTACATTGGTTCTTCTGCAGTTCTCGGGCGGACAAGCTAATGCGCAACTAGTACCATTTCTTCCCAGAGCGCTTGCCATCTAAACAACGATGTGCACAACATCCGAGGTAAATGCATAAGAATATATGAATACAAAACTTTTCAGTTGCTGCAAGATGCAGAAAAAAGATGCTAAATAAGCTTTGCTTTTCTAAAAAATCTGTTTATTTAAGAAAATATAGAAACATACCTCCGAGAATTCCGGTTGTATAGTAGTGCTGTGAATACAATTATTATGAAATAATGTACGAATCTCATCGGCAGCTGCCAAATATGCTTTAAGATCGGCGAATTTGATGTGCACTGTAGCGATAATTCGTTCACCCACTAACCGCCACACGTGAAATTCGTGCACTGCTTCTACTCCTTTGATCTGAGTTTTGAAAAAAATTTAGTATGTCTACAAAATTATGCAATCTAAACATAATGAGAAAATCTAAAGAAAACAACGTTAGGAATGTTTTATGAAGCACGCAATTATGCACTCACGAATGACTAGATGCATAATTGAAATGTTCTGGCCGGATTTTTTCGTGGCCAAAGAAATTAGGAATTATAACAGTGCAAAATCAATCACAGATTTTTGAATTAAATTACATTTGTAACTCTCAAACTAAATTACTCTCAAAACTAACTTTAAGTAGCTCTTTTTTAATTTCTTCGACTTCAATGAAACCAGGAGTAGTCTGCATCAGAATCAGAGCCGTTTCACGCACAAGCGGAAATGTTGATGCAATCATCAAGACAACCATAGCCAAACTACAAAAAAATTAAGAAATAAGTTAGTCTTCTAAAAATATACACACGAGCAGTATGCTGATATGCGAAATATTTCATGAGCACACTCTCTTATGACATTGATAATAAGGCGAAAAGACGCCATATACGAGCAACTGTAGATTATGAAAAATCAAAATACAGGAAGTAACGAACAAACCTCAAACTAGGGTCCAAATAGAGTTTGAGAGCCTCCTGACCAGGAATAAGCCAACAAACAAGAGCCGTAACAATAACAATAACTGAACCAACTGCATCACTCAATACATGGAGAAAAACGCCCTGCATATTTAGCTGCTTCGATAATTCTATAAACATAACATATGAACATCGAAAAAATTAAACCATAATAAAAATAACTGCAAAAGATCCTTTTATCACAATAAACAAATTCTTTTGCAAAAAACTACTTTTTTTCTTTTTTTCTTCACTTTTGTCGATTTTCATACGAGTCTGTGCTCTAAGGCTGGAATCATCTGAATGAACTTCTTGAAGATTCGCAATAGCCATTGCTGCTTCCTGCAACAGCCATTTCTCATTTTCTTATTAATCTCCAGTGTTTCTAATATGTTTTCATATACTGAACTGATTATCCTAAAAGGACATTTAGTCGTTCCTCCACATTGGTTTAACACATTCTCACGCCATACATGTAAATTTTGTTCTCGTTGAAGTTAATGTAAGATTGGGATTGTTTAGAATTTGAAATATATTCAGCACTTCTCTCGCTCCAGGATTACCCAGTTATCAAGTGGGGGGATCATGAATGACCATATTTTATGGTCGCACCGAACACTGAAGTTGACACGGCGAGTTTCTCTCTGCTCGGATTGTCTGAATGGGTACTTGAATCACTGCTGCCGTAAGTACTTCGTATTTGCGTCCCTAAGTAAAATTTTAGAAAATCACTGCGAAATTTCTTCTTAATTCAACCGAATGTTCTTCCATACACCAAAGATGGTATGTATATACATGGTCTCTTAGAATAACTCATCATAACAAATATGAAGTTTTGAAGTTCACATAGATTTTTAAAATAATTTTATTCTAAGTAATATGACAGTACACAAAAAGGGCAATAACTTGAACAAGTACTTCTGTAAGTACTTGTTTGCTCAAGCATTCATATAATAAATTCGATTTGAGAAAAAGTCTAACCTGGTGGGAAGACATTAAATGTTGA